TGTGACTTTAGAGAGTTTTCATAAGTCGTTAACAACTAAAAAAGAAGAACAACCCATTCTCTCAAAAGATGTTAAAAATTCATCACAAAATAATGTTGAACATTCACTTGAGGGGCATAATTTTAAGCCAAAGATAACTAAAAATTATGAACGTGGGGGACACGATTTTAAACTTGCCTGAAAATTATGAATAACTCATATTTGTTATTATTTGTTAGGTTTTTGTTGTTGGCAATTCCGCTTGACAAAACTCCTTTCAGTAATAATTTTATTCAACTTTTATTTTAGTGAGGCTATGAGTTTTTAGATGCAAATCCAGCTCGAAATGTGCTTTGCAGAGATGTTTCAAAAGTTAATTCTTTCATGTTTGCCACTTCAATGACTATATCGAGGATTGAGCTACCCAATTAACTCGCGGGGGTTCAGGGGGCAGCGCCCTTTGGCGGGTTTGGGGCAGCGACCAAGCGAGGTCGAGGGGCAACACCCCTAAAGCAAAAGGCTAAATTGCAGTCAAAGTTGTTTTTCCACTTGAGCGGCCATTCCTATGCTCGAGCGGAGATCGCAATCTTTTAGAAATTTCACTCACTTGCAAAAGTACTGAGAGTTGTTTTTTTCCGCTCAAGTGGCCATTCTTACGCTCGAGCGTAGACCCTGTTTTGTCATACGCGTTTTAGTCAGTTCGCTCGAGTAGAGATCGTGGCTCTATTTTCTATAAATATGTGGTTATATCAGATTTCAGGGTTACGACTTCCAGATCTTCTTTTTGGGTATTAAGGTTTTTATCTGGAGCTTCTTTGCTTGCTTCCTTTGATATCTGTGAGAGTTTAATCGTGAATTGAGTGAATTATATTAAAGGGTTTGTTTAGTTTGTTTTACTCAAAAAAAGAGAGAGTTGTTTTTCGGTGGATTCTGAAAAATTTGAGCTTGAAGCTTTTGTAGATTCTAGAGTGGCTCATCGTCGTGGATTCGACATCGGCGTTATAGATTCAATGTTAGGCAACAATTTCGAGGTGAATACGGGGCTGGAAGAGGCACATAGGGGTCGGTTCAATTCATGAATGTATTCGTTAGGTAATTGAGAGTACACTTGTGTAATTCCTTTGTATCTACTTAGTGGATTGTTTTGTGACTTTTGTCCATGATTTTTTTATCACAATTAAAGGCGCTCCAATTATGATTTTTCCACGTAAAATTGTTTTGTCGATTTGTCTTGATTGTTTGATTGAGATTATTATTTGCTGCTTAAAATTGATACATAATCACAAATCAATATCTTCAAAATTTTTAGATTTTTCATTGTTAAATTTGTCAAAAGTTTTGATTTTCTAAAACCATTTGATATTATGATTTTTGCTACCCAATGACCACCATGGGTTTTGGTTCACATCAAAAGTTAATTTTGATGAACTGGTTAACAAAAACAACATCGCCTCCGTTTGGAAAGTGGGTTGGCTTTTTTGGTTATTTTAGCCTAAGCTAAAAAGTTTGGTTTGAGAAGGGCTTTTTGACTTTTTTGACTTTTTTTGTGAGAGAAGAGTGTAATGATTATGGATTGGATGTGGTATTTTATTTGTTGTGGCTAAAATAGCATATTTTGTCTTTTGTGGCTAAAATAGCCAAAAAAACTCTTACCAAACAGAGCCGTCTTATACTTATAAGTTTGATGGAATAAAAAAAATATAGCCATATAATAGCCAATACTTGGCCAAACCAATAATAACCAATGGTCAATTGGTTATATTTTGCATGAAGACTAATTTAATAGCTAATTGTTGAATGTCGACACATGCCAGTTTAATAGTTGATGGTCAATTAGTTATTCTTCGCATATAGGAGTGTAAAAATGGCTCGCGACTCCTAGGCGGCCAAAAGCCCGCTTGCGCTCGAGGTGGGCCTGACTCGATTAGGCTCAGGACCCTAGGCCTGGGCCTGGACCTGGACTTGGACCTGGACCTGGACCATCATTTTGAAACCCGACCTAGCTCGTGGGCCTCGCCTATTGACCCGCTCAAGGCTTACTCAAAGTCCAGCCTGTTCGAGGCCTAGTGTCATTTTTTGTGAAAAAAAATAAAATTTTGGTGAAAAAATTAAAAAAAAATGTTCAAGCCCTGCCCAAGGCCCCGAATACTTGTTGAGCTCGAGCCCGAGCCCAAGCCTAGGTGGGCCAGGCCGGACCAAATTTACACCAATTTTTTCATCGACATAAGGCTAATTAATTATTTTTGTTAATAAATTTTGTTTCAAACTTTGAAATAGTGCTAAATATTAGAAGTGTAAGCATAACCCATGTTTCATCAAATACAAAAGGGCTCAAACTATAGCCAAGTTTATGGATAATGTAAAGCCTTAAGAAATACTGGTGATGTAAATCAGTTGAGGGCATTGTTTGCACCATAAAATATTTTCTATCGATTGTGGTAAATCGTCTTATAAATTATTTAATTGAATTTCATTCTTCAATCCATTTAAATGAGGGGGGCATTGTTGACACCACATTTTATTTTTCTCTCAATTATGGCCTGTTAATTATAGCCAAGTTTATTTATGGTTTGTCGATTAAGACCATAGACTATTTTTTAAGAATAAAATTGGCTACATTTTTTTTATTATTATTATTCCGATCAACAAATATGTTGACATGGCGTGACAAATATATTAGTAACGTGGCATGAAAAAGATGATGATATAGCTTGAAAAGATTAAATAAAAGCCTGTTAAAATCAATTAGAAATCATATGTTAAAATTGGGGGATCAATACCAAGGCAAAACACAAAATCTGCAAGTAGTTCCTATGAAGATAAGATGTGGTTGAGTAGAGCAAAGATCAAGGAAGATCATGGATTGATAGTTACAACATGAGATAGCCAAGCAAATTTAAAATGAAGACTTGATGAATGAAGAAAAAAAAAAGAAAAGAAGATCAATCAATCAATCCACAAAACTCAGAAATTGTAATATCTGTGTAGGAGTAGTTAAGTTAGCACTTTAAGGAGTAGAATAGTGATAGTTTTTTCATTACCCATTTTATTTTTTTCTATTGATTGCTGTATTTTTCAATTTTTTATTCTTATTTAAATTATTGTAACTGGTAACAAGTGACAATCTAGTTAAATAAATGCATATTATGTTCTATCCTATCTTTTCTTTACTTAAATAACCTCCAGTGAAGTCCTTAATCTATTTAAGGTATAGAATTTAACCACAAAGTCTGATCTTTTTGTGTTTATTTAAAATTATTTAAATCTATCAATTAATTACTGTCAAGTAGGCTTAAACCAAATTTTTACCAACAAATAGAATTACATCTTTGAATTTTTTCACCTTATTTGATACATCTTTTATACAAGTGGAAATGACTATTTCAATAAATAAATAAATAAAAGGTGAGAATAATGTGGATATTGATAGAGTGTGGTAACTGATGATGGAGTGTGTGCGAATGACCAAAATTGGTGTACATTTTAAAACTTGTTAAATTTTCAAATCAAATTTAAACAAATAACTACTCATCTCGATAAATATATGTTCTATAAAAAATCAAGCAATTCAAGCTTAACTCATGTGTCAACTTGTTAAAAATTTGTTTAAAACTGACACATAGATAAATAAATTAAATTTAAATTCATTTTAAAACATATTAAGTTCTCAAATTAAAGTAAACAAATTAGTTTGTTTCTAGCCCTAACTAACAAATTGGTTTGCTTCTAGCCCTAACTATGAAGTTAGTGGTTTTATACTCATAAAGCTGTATCGTAAAGGTAGAGAAGAGACGAAGGAGAGGAGATGACACTAGAAACGTAAAAAGTAATATTATAAATAGAGTGTATTATTTCATTAACTCGTCAAATGACAAGCTCTATTATAAAAGCTGAAAGTAATTTTTAAAAGGAGTTTACGTTAAATCTAACCTCAAGTTTTGAATTTTTTAGTTCCACAATTTTCGATGTGTTAATGCCACTAACGTCGCACATAAATATTTTGGAATGTTTTTACCTTTTGGTGATATTGCACTATATCCATTTTACTATTTAATTTTTAAATTTATCAAAGTGTAAGCTTGTTTGGGCAGTTCTTTTTGTCTTTTGTAATTTTTTTTTCACTTTTCATTCATTTTTGACAAAAAATAAGAATTATAAGCCTAAAAACCTTTAAAAACCTAAATAAATTGAATACAAAATTAAAATACCACTAAAAACGTAAGGTTGCTTTAATTGGAAAAATGTCCTTAAGAAATCGTTTTTCAATTTTCTGAATTTTAAATTGTATTATATTTTTAGTCAAAACACCCTAACATTAAAAATAAAAAAAACAAAAAAAAAAACCAATACCATGATTTTTTTTGTTTTTTCCTTGTTATGCCAAACTGGCCATATTTGATTTGGTTTTCAAAAACTTATTTTCAGAATTTTTTTTAAAAAAATTAAAAATTAATTTCGTGAAAAAAATAAAAAAATCAAAAATATTTTTTAAAAATTAAAAAAAAAAGGAAAATTTACCCATAAGTCCTAGTTTCTGAAAAGTTGAACCATTTAGTCCTAAAAGTTTTCTTATGCTCCATTTAGTCCTATTTGCACATCAATCTAATGTTTGAAACATTAATCTGATGTTCGAAATCTAATGTTCGAAACATTAATCTGATGTTCGAAATCTAATGTTCGAAACATTAATCTGATGTTTGAAACATTGTAATGGGACCTTTTAGTCTATAAGAAAACTTTTAGGACTAAACATTATATAAGTTATTAATTTGGGATTTATGGGTTCATCCCCCAAAAAAAAGGCTTTTGATATTTATTTCCAAAAAAAAAAAAATTCTGGAAAAATTTTCAGAAATTGAAATTTGAAACCACAGATGGCCATACTGGGCCCAAATTTGTGTCCGGCCCAGTAGAAAATAGTGGGTCTCATAGGAGCCTGAATGAAATTTCCAGATTCCGGCCCAGCTTGACTTGGCAGAGTTGCAGCGTTGACGACGAAAAGAGAAAGAGTATCAATCACCGCCTTCCTCGAAACGAAGCCTCTCCATTAGAAAAGAAAGAAAAAAAAACCCTAATCTGAAACTTTTTTCTCCTCTCCTCTCAATCCATTTTCTTTTTCTTTTCATCGAAACTCCCTTATCAAACCCTAATAATGTCGGTCATCATCTGAAGCTCCTCTCATCTCCTTGATCTTTTGCCCCTTCATCGCTTTCCTTATCTCTCCTCTTACGTATCTCTGCATTCTCCATAGAAATTTCCATCAAGTTTCTCGTGTTCTTGCACATAAATACCAGGTTTCTCTCTGCGTTTTGATTCGCAAGCTGATTTACGGTCTTCTTCAGGTATTCTCGTCAACTTCATTCTTGTTCCTTTCCCATCTATGTATATATGTATGTGTTTTTTTAGATGCTTAGATTTATTTCGTTTTCTGTGATTTTGTTGTGCTTCAGATTCGTTTTAGGACGTTTCTAAAGGGCACGGATCTGTTTCTTGGTTATTGATTTTGTTTCAAGAATTTTTTTGTGTGGAAATCTGTTGAAATCAGAGCGCGAGATGCAAAATTCAATTTTTTTTTTGGGTGGAATTATATTCATGATATAGCGAGGATCGGTAGTGGTTGCCTTTATAAGCAACCAAAGCTTCCTTCTGGAAGCATTTGTCTTGCTTTATAGTTTTTCTCGGTTTTGTGCTTTTCGGTTCAGTCATAGATACTCATGGTTTTTATTTTGTTTTTGAAATTCACTCTCAATTTTGTTTCTCTAACACAATTTTTAATCAAGATACAATTTCGATTAGTTGTGTTTGTAGTGTAGCGGTGTAAGATTTAAATCTAAATGGAAGTAGTTTGGGGCTACCGGACACTTTATTGTCGTAAATTCACCCGGGAGATATATGTATCTGACTGTTTCTAGATATTTAGATTATAATTCTTGATGGGTTGGGTCAGTAACGATTTTTTGGTATTGATCTGTCAGCTATGAAACTGATTGTTATCTATAGTTGATTTGATGCCTATTTCAGGGAAGTGTTATTTTTTTTTGGCTTTAAAAGCAGGTTCTTTGTTATCTATATGCCTTCTGTAATGAAGTTTTTATTATGCTAGGTTTTGCTACTGACACAACAACTCATGCACAATATGTCAAGACCCAGTGTTGCATTACTTTTGTAATATTTTTGTGATTGTATGGAGATTGTGAATGGGACAGCATAATTGGTCCTACCTAGCCCTCACCAAGACAGAATTGCCATTTATATCCTTTAAATGAAATCATGTTCAAGCATATATGCCTAGATGTTTACATACTACATTTTGGTTGTTTGACAGATTTACTTTCTTTGGAAGAGGCTTGTTTAATCTGCATTTGAATGGCTTCTCTTGATATGTCTCTTGATGACATGATAAAGAACCGGCGGAGTAGCGAGAGAGGTAGAGGACGAGGAAGGGGCCAACGTGGTCGAGGGCCAATAGGGTCATTCAGTGGTGGAAGAATGACAGGGCCACCTCGCAGAGGTCCACTAAGGGTGAATACTCGGCCATCATCTTACGTCATTGCCAAGGCAAGCTCAAAACCATGGATGTCTTATTCATTTGCTAGAGAATCTCATATTTTATAGAAACCAAAATACAAGGATGTCTAACCCTGCATTAGAAACTCAAACATGAGAGGATTTGTGACATTATTTTTGTTCATGGAGAAGCTCACTTTGGCCCAGCCACAAGACCCGATGTCATCTTATGGTGTATTTGTACATTACGACACAGTTTGTCTGTAATTGTGAGTTTGTGATGGATCTCGTTGGTAGATGTTTGAAAGATCGTTGGTGGCATCATTGAGTTATAATGCTACTTTGTAGCATTTTTCGCAAAGGAGCTTCAATAATTGAACTTGTGAATTTGGGATCTCACCAGTATAACATTCCCTAACAACTAGTGGGGTTCAAATTTCTATATGATCTCTAATCCTAATTATTTAGTTGAAATTACTTTAGTCCATGATTACTGGTTGTTTAGACGGGGAGTTTATAATGGATCCTCTTGCTATATGTGGAAATTCTTTGGGGGCGAGATTCTCAGTTACTTATCCTAGTTCATGGCGTTTTTGCGAAGGGGCTTCCTTGGCTGAACTTCAGAACTGAAGCTCTCACCCTGTAGCTCTCTATTTGCAGTGGGTCAAATCCTCTTCTCCCATCTACAGGCTATATCATATATCTCAAGATGACATGGTGGTTAACATTTCAATATAACTGGTTTCTGCTCCTTATGTCATGGAATTTCTTTGCTGATATTTAATTTGCTCTTGAAGAATGATGAATTATTGTACTTTATGGTCCTATTCTGATGTTACCTTTTCAAATCTGGGTTGTTTTTTCTATATGTTTGCATCAGTCTTTCCGCAGAACGAAGAATTTTCCATGGCAACGTGATTTGTTTGAAGACAGCCTTAGAGCTGCAGGGTTAAATGGAGTTGAAAATGGTACAAAGTTATACATTTCGAACTTGGACATTGGAGTGACCAATGAAGATATAAAGGTACAATTTGTGCATTACATTTTTGTATTAAATCTGTTTTTGTAATGGACTTCTTAAGTTTTTATTATATTGGAATTTGGTTTGTAACTCAGGAACTTTTCTCTGAGATTGGACAACTGAAACGATATACAGTTCATTATGACAAAAATGGTCGCCCAAGTGTAAGTGTCCAGTCTTAGTACATATACTTCTAATTATTCTTTTCTAGTATATGTTGTTAAGTGCATTTATTTAGACTCTCTGCTTGTTTGGTTAAATTGATTTTTTTTATTTTGGCTGGAATTTGGTTTTGGGCTTAGTTGCACAAAGTGGGGGTGGGACACATAGAAACATTTGCTAAATGCTGAGGTAGCATTGTTGCCCTTTCATTTCTTTCAAATGTCCTGTACAGCATGTTTGGTGGACAGAGAGATTATTCAGCTGAGTTAACAAGGCATTTGAGCATTTGCTAAGGTGTGTCTGAAAGAAGCCCAATGGCATAATTGATTTTAGGGTTGTATTTTATTCTAAATATTGTCAATATCCATGAAAAAAAGTATGAATTTGTAAAAACTGATTTGAGGTAAAGAAGTGTGTTTAGGTTGGCTATTGAATTCAATCTGCATTTACGTGTCCAATCTCCATGTGCTACTCCATGTAATTAATGTCTTAAGTTTTCATGTTTAAGTTCACGTAAATGTGTCGCCCCCTCTTTGTTGGACACATCTCAACATAACATTCATGCCTTGCATACTTAATAGGTAGTTAAATGTGCTTGCCAAAGATGCTTTTACAAATGATTTACTTTCTCTGCAATCTGTTGCCTATTGCTACTAAAAGACAATTAGATACACGTTTAATATGGTGATTAGTCTACATTCATATGGCTGCTTTCCAGTATTTAGATTTTGAAGAACTGTGTCTTCCCTGTTGTCAATTTATGGAGGTAGGTACCGTACCTGTGCCACCCTTAAAAGCTTCTCCAAGATCCTTAGCCATCATCTTGGGTGTGCTTTGCAATATTATGTATCTCAGTTAACATTGAACTTTGTGAGACTGTCTGATCTATACACTCATTTTCACTTAATCCATGTTTAATCCCAGGAATTTAAGTTTTGAGTTGCTACTATGCTGTGCAGACTTGGATTTGTTATGGGATAGGGTTTTCTATTTGGCTTCGTTTAGGGCTCATGTTTCTCCTGCATTCAAAGGGGTTATGCTTTTTTTGATATTCATTGATTGGAGAGCTGTTTGTGAATTTTAGTTTGTTTTCTTCATTATGTTTGATAGTGGTTTTCTTTGTCTTCTCTTGTAAGATGACTCCTCCTCCTCACCTTGTGACCTCACTTTCTTCATTAATAAATTCTCTTTTGTTGCTGAATCTGTTCCAAAAAAAAAAAAAAGAAAGGAAAAAAAAGAAGATACAGACAATAATCAGAATAGACCATTTGAAATTTCTTTTGGAGCATTATTATGATTATGCCACACTGCATGTACTTTAATGGTGTCAGTTTGTCTTAGTTCCATGTCTTTACTCACGGGGTAGAGCTCCAAGTTAAATGTTGACTTCTCTTCTTCTATAGCATGTTGGAAATGAGTATTTTGTCCTCTCTCTCTCTCTCTCTCTCTCTCTCTCTCGTGCGCGCACACAATTTGTGTTGCTGTCACAAGGTTATTTTAGTTTTGACTTGGTGGCTGCATTTTATTATAGTCTATAGATATACTAATCTAATGGGGTACTTGTGTGATCAACTGGTGTGGGTTGCAGAAGTGCTAACTTTTTCTTACTTGTTTACAGGGTTCAGCTGAAGTAGTATTTGTCCGACGAAGTGATGCGTTTCAAGCTCTTAAGCGGTATAACAATGTTCAATTGGATGGAAAGCCTATGAGGATTGAAATAATAGGCACCAACTCAGAGGTTGCTGTTTCAGCTCGTGTCAATGTAGTTGGAGGTGTAAATGGGAGGCGGACTGTTGTTATGTATGTATTATTTCTTACTTCCTTTGTCACTATGTGTGTGGCTACACTTCATAATTATGTTGTTTGGGGTTAAATTTACTATATTCTTGTCAAGTTAGCTGGTAAATATAAGTGGATGACTAGCTTGTACTTTTGGAACTTTTGAATAACTTTTTGGGTTGAAGATCAAGGATTTAGTACATTATCTATGCTGTTCAATATTCGCATCAGCCTTGCTTGAGGGGTGTAGGGATTCGTTTTAATTCAGTGGCTTAATTTGAACATTTTAAAAACCATTTTCAAGACATGATTGGTTTGATAATTTACTGCTATGTGTTTTGTCTTTTATAAGCATCTGGTCATGTTCTGCTGCTCTACTGGTTTTAACTTTTTTAAAGTGTAAGAGCCATATTGCAGATTGTTTTCAACAATGTCACTAATATTTGTAGATCGTTACCGTGCCATTTTGTTGTTAACATCAACTTAGCTCCATTTTCCCCCCTTGGATTGCCTATAGTTAGAGATCTGATCTTGCTTGAAATGTGATCTGCTAAGTGAACAAATTGGAATCTTTTGATGGATTATGGAAATGTCGACTTGCTGGAAATAAAAAAATGGGGTCCTTGAAAATAAAATATTGGAACAGTGGCTGGCCTCTAGACTTCATTGCCACGAAATATCATGGTTCTAACTTGTTTTGTTTTTTTGGTAGCTGTTGTGTTTACTTTTTATATTAGGTGCTGCCATTGAGATCTTTACCAAGCATTTTGTTTTCTAAAGACGTAATTAATGTTATTTTCTAAAAATCAATTTTCGCAGAGTAGTGTTAATTTTGACCCAGAATTTGAGAGAAGAGAAAATTACTGATGCCTTTATATTTATTTAATTTAATGGGACGCTTCCCCCTTCCTCTCTGAACTAGGAGATTAGTACACCTTGTTTATTTGTGGGCATTTTATACAACAGTTGCTATTGTTGATTCATCAACCATTTTTATTTTCATTTACTGTTGTAACAATTGCACTACTGAGTCTTTGAGGTCTTTCAGGCCCGCAGGTCGTGGCAGAGGCTCTGCTGCAGTTAATCGTCAATCTGGGTAAGGCTTCTTTAAGCAAATTCCTAGGTCTTTTGCATTTTTCAAAACTACTTTTTATATTCTTTAAGGAACCATCTTCAACACTTGCGGACAAGTTTCTAAATTCTATGGTGTTCTTTCTGTGCCCATCTAACATTCCATGACTTGCTAGAATTGAATGAGAGAGAGGATGTATCAAATAAATCTAAGGCATGAGAAGAGTAATGCTGTGATGATCAAATTTTAATGCCAAATTTGTGTACCAAATGATGTGTCATCACTGCAGTGGTGCAATGGACTCTACCTTCCCATGCATGTAAGTTGCCATGTCAGAGGGGGAGTACAAGAGTGGGTTAAACAAAATAATTGGATGGGGTGAAAGCTTGGCTTGAGTTTAATACAGTGTGTCTAGTTTTTTAAAAGCTGAGCTTGTGCTAGTGTACTTGATTTGAAACTTTTTCACAAGCCTATATTTTTCTGAATTGTTTTTTAAGCAAAAACAATCAGCCGAGTTTAACTGGGCGCAACCAGTTTTTTAAAGCTAAGCTTGTGCTGGTGTACTTGATTTGAAGCTTGTTCGTGAGCCTATATTTGCTGAATATTTTAAGTACTTCAGCTTTGGATTACTTATTAATTCTCTTTTTCTAGTGTTTTTGGTCGAAAGAGGTAGGTCTGCTAGGAAGCACTTAAAGTAAGCAAAAACCATCCACTTAGTTGGCCTTTTAGTAGTCTGTTGTTCGGCAACTTATTGTCAGGAACTGAAAATGTTCTTGATAGTCTTGCCAAGGTAGGACAAGTGGAAAATAATAAGGCTAGGGGTCCGAAATAATAGCACCTCTCGGTAACATTCTGCACATCTCGTACTTTGCCTACCTACTGGTATTGAATTTTTGCTGGAGCGGTTGTATCTCAGTACATACATGGGTTTTAGTTTACATGGTATCTCTATCTGCAGTCAGAGGAGCCGAGGTGGTTTGTGGAATGGCCGTGGACGTGCTCGTGGGCGAGGCCGTGGTGGTCGAGGGATGAAGAAAGGCATGGATAAATCAGTTGATGATCTTGACAAGGAACTGGATAATTACCATGCTGAATCTATGCAAACATGAAGAACTGTCCCAGCTCTGCAGAGACACTCCTAAATGGTGGCTATAAGTTGTAATGTTAGCTGTACAAAAATTTAAGATGGTGACAACTTAAGTTGTTTCATTTGCTTCTTTTGATTTTTCTTTTTTTTTTGGTTGGATCGATGCTGTGTTTCCATATTATGGTTAATGAAGCCGTTAGATAACTTGGATTGCATTGCATTTTTAAGTGCTGGGTTGGCCCATATATTTTTGGAATTGTATGAGAAGAATGACATTTCAGGTATTTTTAAAGATGTTCTATGGAGGCAACAAGCTCAAGCCCGGTCTGAAGGGTGGTACAGTTTCATTCTCTTCCCAGTTTTATGAATGAAGCCCTTCAACCCAAAATTTCATATGCTAGCTTCAATTAGTAGAGGAAAATATGGTTTGCGAAGCATATGGCTTATTGGTGATCCCCCATCTCGATGTCAAGAGACTAGGAGAACTACAGCTGCCAGTTTCTGTCTTCCAGCGTGATTGGATTGAAGCGAAGGAATGGTTCCTCGCTTTATTGAAATTGAAGTCAAAGGGCAATTCTTGTATCCTTCATTGGTCTGAATCCCTTCCCCACTGAAGGGTAGCGGTTTGCAATCTTGTTTCAGCTGTCTGAACTAAGATCTTTTATTTTAGCCTGTATTGATTGGAGAAGTTCCTCCCTTTTGGTGAACTTTTGCCCGTGCTTGAGTTGGAGCTGGCTCAACTCAAGAGGTGCCGGCTCCTCTGCATGATTAGCAGTAGTATTAGCATGCTACAGTGTTGCTGGTCTGCTCATCTTCTACATCATGTGACATAAGTTGTGCTATATTTGAATCATGGATTTGGATAGAAATTTAGAAAGAGATTCTCATAGAAATTTGGAAAGAGATTCTCATAGGGATTTTTATTCAAATTTTTTTACCATCTTCATTTCTATTTTTAAATTCATAATCCAAAATCACAGTTTTGGTGTTATATTGTACTATACGTATGGCACATAAATCTGGGTTTGGTTGGTATGGTTCCACTTTCTTTTTATCACTTGCATTCAAGAGATGTTCTTGATTGGTTATGTTAAACAAAACAGAAAGTGGAATAGTAAAAAAAATATTGAATTGCACATTACCCTATAGACTGCTTTCTAACATGAGTTATTAATGCCCATTATGGATTATATAGAGGAGTGATGTGGTAGGCTCAAGGATCTTTCACGAAATTGATGATCAAGCTTATTCTGGACTTGGTGGAGACTGATGGTTGAATGGTGGAAACAATTTACCAAGAGCTTTGACTCTTAACTCCCACGGGGCTACAAAGGTATACCCTTTGTGGTTCTATATCACAGCATAAAAGCTCCAGTACTTGCCACGGACAAAGTTAATGTGTGTCTCGTTGAGTTGATATGTTCTTTTAGCTCTTTTGGACACTGGTAATCTGGGCTGCTGGTAAAAGAACTCTGCCAAGTGCGTGCATGAGCTTGCCCTAATTTGTAGGGATGGATGGATGAGTTTCAAAGGAAGCAAATGATGTACAAAGTGGAAAGCCTCCATGTGTGTCTGGGTGATGTATGAATTTTAACCTACAGATCAAGTAGTAAACGATGTACGAGGTGAAAGGTTATATATCCTCCATATGTATGTACAAGCACTGAAATGAGCTCCCGGGCAGCCCAAATAACCACACAAAGACAAGGGAGTATATCCTCCATAAGAGATTAAGCCCATTCAGCCAAGGTAGGAGAATGTTAAAACTACCAACCAACTGGTTGCCACTTGCACGTTTAAGAAACAAAATTGGGGTTGGGAGTAATATTTAGGAGAGATTCAACTTCCAAAATCCTTAAAATTGCACAGTAGCTCCTGGTTCTTAGGAGATGCAGAGTGGAACCTTCGATAGAGGATCTCTCAGATTTGATTTTCCATCGTCAACTCTGAACATTGAATAGAAACTCACAAATGCACAGACAAAAAATAGTTTCAAGTAAAATGAAATAATATGTTGTAAACACACATTTTTTTACAAACAGATTACACCTTTGAAAAACACTAATAACAATCTGCTGTTTAACATGTAAAATTGCACCTCATGGGTGCAAGCCCAGCCAGGGTTGAATGTCAATGCTTTTTACAAGATATGGTAAAAACTGTAACCATACAAAAAATGATTACCAATGATAAAAAAATAACCTATAACATGCATACAATCAATCACTAAAAAATAAGACAACCATCAGAGACGGGGCTGTTATTGTGGAGCAATTGTGACATTCTTCAGTAGGAATTCTCCAGACTCGTTTTTCTTCAAAATCTTCCCAACCACAGCATTCCAGTTAGTTCTTCCACCGCAGGACACTGATTTAGCTTTTGCTTCATTCTCAGAAGACTCAGCGGCATCCTCACCTTCTACAGATTCTTCCTTGCTTGTTGAGGGTTCGTCTTCAGGGGCATTGACAGCGTGAGGTATGTTCAAACTGAGAGCTCTTTCCAAAGCATCCCTGTGTTCTTTTTGTAAAGTATGCATCCTCTCGAATTTTTGTACTTTTGGGGCAGTTGTTACAGTCTCAGAAATATTGTCCCTCATTCTCTGTAAGAAGGCATCAATTTGCAGCAGAATGCATGAAATTCATCTTCTGACTAAATTGATTTAATTACAACAATTGATGACAAAGCCCAGCTTGGTAGAAAATATGGATACCACGGTTACACCATGTCACACTAATGGCTTGGTAACACCAACTAACCAGCTTGTAACATTTGTTTAGGTAGAATACAACTCATCTACATTCTCACATCAGCAATAACTCCACTTTTTAACCCAGACAACATTAAAATTCCTCTCTCAGGAAATCAATCGTCACCAACCGTAAAAACACTTGTAAATTTGTTGATATGGGCATGTGGGTAACACTTAACCAATCCCAGAGGCCACAACTTAAATTTATTGCATTTTCTCATTAAATTATATGTTTCATTTTTTTGTATAAAGAAAATACAAATATTTTGTTATGTTGATAAAAGTTTACAAAGCAAAGAGAGAATGCGATGAATAAATATATTCACCATTTGATTTGAGTTTTCAAATTTTATTTTCTATAAATAAAACAAAATAAAAGTTCAAAAAAACTTATTTGGTTAAAAAATATATATTTTATATATATTTATTTCACAAAAATTATCAACAGGTCCTAGGATTTATTACCTCACAAGTCCTGAGTGAAAAACTTTATGTATTTGCCCCTCATTTTGATAATGAGAAAATATTGAGACCTGTTAAATGTATGTTTTTTGTTTGTGAAATGGTCATTTGATACTAGTAATGATATTGAAAAATTTATCAAAGTGATAAATGATTGGGCCATTTTGGTTTTTGTTATGAGTTTTGTAAATTTTTAGTTTATTTGTATTAGTTTGTATTGAAATATGATGTGAGAAGCGTAAGTAGTTGAATTTTATTTTTTTAAAATATTTTTATAATAATAAATATCTATGATTTTATAGGACCAACCCGTAACTATCCATTTTTCATATGATTTCATCTTTTGGGGGGTAAAATAAATTTCTCTAAAATTTAAAATATTTTTTTGGTATTTATTTTTGTCAAACTAAATTCTATTTTTTTGAAGAAAATAAAAAACCCAAATAGAGCGACCAGTATTAGAAAAAATAAAATAAAATAAAAAATCCAAGTAACCATTACACATTGCTCAGATCAGCTATTACCTAGTTCACCAAAAGAGAATAAAAAAAAATAAAAAAATAAAAAAAATAAAAAGAAAAAAAAGAAAGAAAAAAAGAGAACACAGTGCTAATTTGGTAAAATTCCAAAATTTTGAGGATTGTCAAAACAGCGAGAGAGAGTTTAACATGTTACAGTGTTGGTGTTTAAAGTTGTGTTATTGTTCTGTAGAGTTATTGTTGATCACAATCTAAACAAATGTCACAAGTTAGCTGATTGGTGATACCAAGTCATTAGTGTGACAAGTGTAACTGTGGTATGTGCCTGTGTCAAACATCGATTTCAAAAACTTAAATATAACAACAAATTTCATGGATTTGTCTAACCCAACACACATCCAAAGGCAAAAGTTATTAATGGCAAAAGCCCATTTCAGAAGGCAAATATGACCTACTGAAATGTTTATTCAATTTTTAAAACTCCATCCAAGCAGTTTTATTCCAAAGAGAGAATCTGACATTGACATTGGTGATGACAAAGTCCATGCCAAATCTTCCTATGGCAATCTTTGGGGGCAAATTATATTTTTCACACTTCAACTTTTATTTAAATTTCATTTTAGTCCTTCATGTTTCAATTGTAACAATTTTAACCTCATACTTTCAAGTGAGGTTCACATTTTGATTGACTGATTTGGGAAGCAAAGAAAAGAAATGCATTTCTCTCGGTTCATATCACTTGTTTGGATTAATAAAGAGGACAAAAATTGAGTGAAATGGGATGAAATGGAGAGAAACCCATTTCTCTCATAACCTTCATTTTGAATCTTTACAAAAGTGGAGAGAATGGATGAGAAAAGAAACCAACTACTCACTATCTTTTTATATTTCCAAAATTGTCCCTTCATATATAGAAGAAATAAAAAAACTAACACCTATAAAAGGTTATTTTGGTAAATATAATATGAAACAATTTCTTTTCTTTTCTTTTATGTAGTTCAACTAAACAAGATAAGAGACAAATCATTATATTTTCCTTTCTTTTCTATCCCATTTATCCAAACAAGAGGAAGAGAAATTACAATCCTTTCTTTTCTTTGCTTTTCTCTCCTAAGTTACCAAACGTTGTGTCAGTGTAGTCCCTCCATCAATTGCTGTTGCAAAATTTGATGAAAAGTCATAATGGAAAATATTGACTGAAGGACCATATTCAAATTTTCCTGTAAGTATGAGGTTAAGATTGTTACAATTGAAGCACAAGGGACCAAAGTAAAATTTGAGTAAATGTTGAAGGGTAAGAAGTGTCATTTGCCCATCTTTCAGATTTTGTTGGAGTTTCAGTTGATAAATTTGCATGCTTATGATGAAAAAAGAACATGGTCAAACTAAAAGAGTAAAATTGCTTCCCACTTACATTTAGAGCCTTCTCTGCTTCCCTTTCTATCCAAATAATTGCATGATCTTGTGTGGCATTGCAAGATAAGACAATGTGCTCAAATCTTCCATCTACTGGGATGGCAGTTCTGACCTCTGGAGGATATCTTGCACATCTGTGTGTACAATGCAAGGACATAATTTCAGAGCAAACAAAACTATTTTGCTAGCAAATTGCCACCAGCTTTCTTACAAGAGAAAAGAAAAGAATAACACAAATGCTACTTGAGGACAGATAATTACATAACAATTAACACCAACTACTGGAAAACTATATAATACAGGATATTTTTTATTAGAGCAATGCTAGGTTCTCCAAAAAAACTACCAAAAATTATACAGAATACTCACATGGGTGTGGCACATTCATGTGAGTATTGTGAAGAATTTTTGGCAATTTTTTTGGAGTCTAGCATTTTTGTTTTAATTATTATGTACACCATTCCTAAACATATAATAGGAAAATCTTCCTGAATACAAAATATAATTTTGAAGTATTGGTCAATTCCACATTGTTTGATCCGGATTTAAACTTCTATACTGAAGACGGAATCGTCATGAGAATTGTTCTATATACTATGAATATCTGATTGTTTTGTGATACGTAACACCAATATCTTGACAGAACATTAATATTTATCACCAATATAAATTCCAAAATTAAACAAATAAGAAAATAGGTATGGTACTATCAGGTTCAACTTATCAACAAGTGTCACAAGAAAGGATAAAATGGCATTCCAGTGATTGACGATAGCTATTTCCATTTTCCCTATTTTCCTTTGAATGATTTAATGAGTAATAGTTAGAAACTAAGTTGGAGTTCACAGTGGAAGAAACATGAGCAATACTGTTATTCTGTTAAACACTATATTTTATTGATTGATGTTAGAATTTCCCATCTTTACCTTCACCTACTCCACTACACACTCCACTTCACCTATCTCCACTTCACCACACACTCCACTTCACCTAACCCACTATCACCTCCACTACACCTACTACCACATTTTCTTCTATATATATAGATTGTATAGGAATTGTAATTTATCAATCTTGTAACAATTACAAACATCAATCAATAATACAATTCTCTTTTTCTCTTTATACATTAAATTTCTACATGGTATCAGAGCAAGGTTAAGAAGCTAGTAATTCTGCTTCACCGGCGGGCGGCAGCCTCGCCTTGGCCGCCCGCCGGACCTCCACACATTCCTTCACTCCGCTGCCACAAATTCCACATCTCTCTCTAGATTTAGTATATACAGAGAGCTATGGAGTCTAAGCCAAGCTTACTGAGGAACATTCTGGTTCGACTCTTTGTCTTCGGTGTTCTCATCATCGCCGTCCGATTCGCCTACGTCGTCACCATCAGAGGCTGAAACTTCTGAACGAGCACATTATGCAATATCACCAAGTGCTCAACTGGTGACGTCTGAGTCTCAAGGTCGGTCAAAAATGGGTGTCTATAGGTATGTACTTCACCTTTTTACATTCCCTGCCTTAATTCTGTATTTTCCCTGCATTTCATGCTATGTATGCTTATTGCTCGTTCTAAACACATCCGTATGCCATGCTTCTGCTCATTTTTAGCACACAACTTGTTCTGTATGCTTAGTTTATAACACAATACTCTTCCTTGAACGCACAGCTCAATCACTTGAATCTCTAAAATCTGAACACGTAGCCCAAATTTAATTGTGAACACGCAGCCCACATTCGTTGAAAGTTGAACACGCAGTCCAAACTTTAAATTTCTGAAATCTGAACACGCAGCCCAAATTCGATTGTGAACACGCAGCCCACATTTGTTGAAAGTTGAACACACAGCCCAAACTTAAATTTCTGAAATCTGAACACGCAGCCCAAATTTGAAGGTGAACACGCAGCCCACATTTAATTGAAAGTTGAACACGCAGTCCAAACTTTAAATTTCTGAAATCTGAGCACATAGCCCAAATTTGAAGGTGAACACGCAGCCCACATTTAACTGAAAGTTGAACATACAGCCCAAACTTTAAATTTCTGAAATCTGAACACGTAGCCCAAATTTGATTGTGAACACGCATCCCACATTTGTTGAAAGTTGAACACGCAGCCCAAACTTTAAATTTCTGAAATCTGAACACACAGCCCAAATTTGATTGTGAACACGCAGCCCACATTTGTTAAAAGTTGAACACGCAGCCCACACTTTAAATTTCTGAAATCTGAACACTCAGCCTAAATTTGATTGTGAACACGCAGCCCATATTTGTTGAAAGTTGAACATGCTGCCCAAATTTGATTGTGAACACGCAGCCCATATTTAATTGAAAGTTGATCTGAACACACAGCCCAAATTTGATTGTGAACACACACAGCCCACATTTGATTGAAAGTTGAACACGCAGCCCAAACTTTAAATTTCTGAAATCTGAACACACAGCCCAAATTTGATTGTGAACACACACAGCCCACATTTGATTGAAAGTTGAACACGCAGCCCAAACTTTAAATTTCTGAAATCTGAACACACAGCCCAAATTTGATTGTGAACACACACAGCCCACATTTGATTGAAAGTTGAACACGCAGCCCAAACTTTAAATTTCTGAAATCTGAACACACAGCCCAAATTTGATTGTGAACACACACAGCCCACATTTGATTGAAAGTTGAACACGCAGCCCAAACTTTAAATTTCTGAAATCTGAACACACAGCCCAAATTTGATTGTGAACACACACAGCCCACATTTGATTGAAAGTTGAACACGCAGCCCAAACTTTAAATTTCTGAAATCTGAACACACAGCCCAAATTTGATTGTGAACACACACAGCCCACATTTGATTGAAAGTTGAACACGCAGCCCAAACTTTAAATTTCTGAAATCTGAACACACAGCCCAAATTTGATTGTGAACACACACAGCCCACATTTGATTGAAAGTTGAACACGCAGCCCAAACTTTAAATTTCTGAAATCTGAACACACAGCCCAAATTTGATTGTGAACACACACAGCCCACATTTGATTGAAAGTTGAACACGCAGCCCAAACTTTAAATTTCTGAAATCTGAACACACAGCCCAAATTTGATTGTGAACACACACAGCCCACATTTGATTGAAAGTTGAACACGCAGCCCAAACTTTAAATTTCTGAAATCTGAACACACAGCCCAAATTTGATTGTGAACACACACAGCCCACATTTGATTGAAAGTTGAACACGCAGCCCAAACTTTAAATTTCTGAAATCTGAACACACAGCCCAAATTTGATTGTGAACACACACAGCCCACATTTGATTGAAAGTTGAACACGCAGCCCAAACTTTAAATTTCTGAAATCTGAACACACAGCCCAAATTTGATTGTGAACACACACAGCCCACATTTGATTGAAAGTTGAACACGCAGCCCAAACTTTAAATTTCTGAAATCTGAACACACAGCCCAAATTTGATTGTGAACACACACAGCCCACATTTGATTGAAAGTTGAACACGCAGCCCAAACTTTAAATTTCTGAAATCTGAACACACAGCCCAAATTTGATTGTGAACACACACAGCCCACATTTGATTGAAAGTTGAACACGCAGCCCAAACTTTAAATTTCTGAAATCTGAACACACAGCCCAAATTTGATTGTGAACACACACAGCCCACATTTGATTGAAAGTTGAACACGCAGCCCAAACTTTAAATTTCTGAAATCTGAACACACAGCCCAAATTTGATTGTGAACACACACAGCCCACATTTGATTGAAAGTTGAACACGCAGCCCAAACTTTAAATTTCTGAAATCTGAACACACAGCCCAAATTTGATTGTGAACACACACAGCCCACATTTGATTGAAAGTTGAACACGCAGCCCAAACTTTAAATTTCTGAAATCTGAACACACAGCCCAAATTTGATTGTGAACACACACAGCCCACATTTGATTGAAAGTTGAACACGCAGCCCAAACTTTAAATTTCTGAAATCTGAACACACAGCCCAAATTTGATTGTGAACACACACAGCCCACATTTGATTGAAAGTTGAACACGCAGCCCAAACTTTAAATTTCTGAAATCTGAACACACAGCCCAAATTTGATTGTGAACACACACAGCCCACATTTGATTGAAAGTTGAACACGCAGCCCAAACTTTAAATTTCTGAAATCTGAACACACAGCCCAAATTTGATTGTGAACACACACAGCCCACATTTGATTGAAAGTTGAACACGCAGCCCAAACTTTAAATTTCTGAAATCTGAACACACAGCCCAAATTTGATTGTGAACACACACAGCCCACATTTGATTGAAAGTTGAACACGCAGCCCAAACTTTAAATTTCTGAAATCTGAACACACAGCCCAAATTTGATTGTGAACACACACAGCCCACATTTGATTGAAAGTTGAACACGCAGCCCAAACTTTAAATTTCTGAAATCTGAACACACAGCCCAAATTTGATTGTGAACACACACAGCCCACATTTGATTGAAAGTTGAACACGCAGCCCAAACTTTAAATTTCTGAAATCTGAACACACAGCCCAAATTTGATTGTGAACACACACAGCCCACATTTGATTGAAAGTTGAACACGCAGCCCAAACTTTAAATTTCTGAAATCTGAACACACAGCCCAAATTTGATTGTGAACACACACAGCCCACATTTGATTGAAAGTTGAACACGCAGCCCAAACTTTAAATTTCTGAAATCTGAACACACAGCCCAAATTTGATTGTGAACACACACAGCCCACATTTGATTGAAAGTTGAACACGCAGCCCAAACTTTAAATTTCTGAAATCTGAACACACAGCCCAAATTTGATTGTGAACACACACAGCCCACATTTGATTGAAAGTTGAACACGCAGCCCAAACTTTAAATTTCTGAAATCTGAACACACAGCCCAAATTTGATTGTGAACACACACAGCCCACATTTGATTGAAAGTTGAACACGCAGCCCAAACTTTAAATTTCTGAAATCTGAACACACAGCCCAAATTTGATTGTGAACACACACAGCCCACATTTGATTGAAAGTTGAACACGCAGCCCAAACTTTAAATTTCTGAAATCTGAACACACAGCCCAAATTTGATTGTGAACACACACAGCCCACATTTGATTGAAAGTTGAACACGCAGCCCAAACTTTAAATTTCTGAAATCTGAACACACAGCCCAAATTTGATTGTGAACACACACAGCCCACATTTGATTGAAAGTTGAACACGCAGCCCAAACTTTAAATTTCTGAAATCTGAACACACAGCCCAAATTTGATTGTGAACACACACAGCCCACATTTGATTGAAAGTTGAACACGCAGCCCAAACTTTAAATTTCTGAAATCTGAACACACAGCCCAAATTTGATTGTGAACACACACAGCCCACATTTGATTGAAAGTTGAACACGCAGCCCAAACTTTAAATTTCTGAAATCTGAACACACAGCCCAAATTTGATTGTGAACACACACAGCCCACATTTGATTGAAAGTTGAACACGCAGCCCAAACTTTAAATTTCTGAAATCTGAACACACAGCCCAAATTTGATTGTGAACACACACAGCCCACATTTGATTGAAAGTTGAACACGCAGCCCAAACTTTAAATTTCTGAAATCTGAACACACAGCCCAAATTTGATTGTGAACACACACAGCCCACATTTGATTGAAAGTTGAACACGCAGCCCAAACTTTAAATTTCTGAAATCTGAACACACAGCCCAAATTTGATTGTGAACACACACAGCCCACATTTGATTGAAAGTTGAACACGCAGCCCAAACTTTAAATTTCTGAAATCTGAACACACAGC